GCATCCCTGCCCCACCTCATGTACCCTATCAGTACTCTACACCGATTGGTGCATACATTTCGACTTTTGATGCTCCATCGCCTATTCCACATGTACAACCTACATATGAGACGTGTCCCACCTTTTTAAATTCATCGATTGATTGGTTGAACAACTTATTAGGATCAGATGTGCAGAGTGGGATGGGGCACGAAGCAGGACCAAGCACACAACCGCCGATTGAACATAGGCCGAGACGGGATATACATCCTCGACGCTGTGGGACAGGGAGTCACTTCATGGTGCCAGGTCGACACTATGAATCTGATGAATCAGAATAGTTGTATGTAATTAGTTTTATCAATTATGAATTGAATTTGTACTTTTAAATTATCAATTGAATTTGATATTATCTTATTATTAAATTGTACTTTTACTATTACGTTTCAAGCTTAAACTTTACTATTATGTACGGAATACTTATTATTCGAAATTTTACTTTTTTTTTCAACATTCAATAAATATCCCTTTCAACATTCAACATTCAATTAGTTTGTACTTTTAATTTTTTTTCATCATTTGAACCACCCTATTTTCAACATTCAACATTCAATTTTTTCAATCACTTTAACTTAAATCAATCAACTTTTACTTTTTGTGACAGATTCCCTGTCACTTCAGGAATCAATAATTCTACACAACATTCAATTTTTTTTTTCAACCACTTATTATTCGAAATAATTTCAACCACTTCCAACTATCAATAATTTTGATCTAAAAAAATATCTCGGGTACAAAAGTGTACCGATTCCACTCACTTTAAATTAAATCAATCAACATTTAATTTTTCTGACAGATTCCCTGTCACTTCGAGAATCAATAATTCTACACAACATTCAATTTTTTTTCAACCACTTATTATTCGAAATAATAAGAACCACTTCTCCCAACCACTTGCACCCACCCAAACCCACTCCCAACAACCAATAATTTTGATCTAAAAAAAATATCTCGGGTACAAAAGTGTAACGATTCCACTTACTTTAAATTAAATCAATCAACTTTTAATTTTTCTGACAGATTCCCTGTCACTTCGAGAATCAATAATTCTACACAACATTCAATTTTTTTCAACCACTTATTATTCAAAATAATTTCAACCACTTCTCCCAACCACTTGCACCCACCCAAACACATTCCCAACAATCAATAATTTTGATCTAAAAAAAATATCTCGGGTACAAAAGTGTACAGATTCCACTCACTTTAAATTAAATCAATCAACTTTTAATTTTTCTGACAGATTCTCTGTCATTTCGAGAATCAATAATTCTACACAACATTCAATTTTTTTTCAACCACTTATTATTCGAAATAATTTCAACCACTTCTCCCAACCACGTGCACCCACCCAAACCCACTCCCAACCACTTCTTATGTTCTATTATTTATCCCACTCAAAAATTTTTATTGAATTATTTGTGTTTTTTTCTTTGAAAAAAAAAGAAACTAAACAATCCCAAAAAACTTAAGAAATCTTTTACTAGTAATAGAAAACCTACTGAAGCAATACACTCCCCGTAAAAGAAACCTACCGAACCCACTCAACTTAATGATTTTGCTCAAAACGAAAATAAATAAACCCCCAATATCGGATTCAAGGAATCCGTTTTTCACCTTTCCCTACCACCTCACAAAAACCCTACATATTTCGGATTACACAACCACGTTTCCCGTTTTTTTAGAAAACCTAAAAAAACTCCCGCATTTTGGCAACTGACGCATGACATTCCCGTAAAAAAAGAAATCACCCAGTTTTTCATATATAAGGTCTCCAAAAAAAAAAAAAAACTGCTCCACTATAAAGGCCTCATTTGAAAATTAAGTGTTAGCTAGTTTGGTTAACGGTTTATGACATAATGGTTTATGAAATTTACTTTTTTAATTGTAACCTCGCATTCTTACGCTTAATATGCTAAACAATCAAGTCCTTGTAAATAATGGTTTGCTTGTTTCTAGTTCTTTGCATTGTGAGGCCATTAGTCCGTTGAAGATTCAAATTTGGGTGAGTTAAAAGGGAGTTGATTTTTCAATTTACTCAATCGTGAAGCCACACTTTATTCTATAAAAATATATAGAAAAACATTTAGATATGCAAACTTTTAATTAATGATGCTTTTACTTGGACGGTAATTTGCTGGTCTGGTCTGGTATATTTAAGTCTGGTCTAGTGTAGTGGTGTGGTTTGATCTCTGTGTAATTTATAACTACAGAAATCAAGTTTTGGTCGGTTTGTTTAAGTATGATTTGATCTTTTTAAATCTGGTCTGATCTGGTCTAGTTTGGTCTGTTTAAGTTTGGTCTGGTCTGGTCTGGGATTGAAAACAGTCCAAATAAAAACATCCTAACACCTCTTGTAACATTGAAATGAAGTCCATGTATAAAAAATATTTGATATTTAATTAAGCATCAAAAGCATTGTTCAGGTAAAACAAGTTCAGGTAATAGCCCAATAAAACATATGTTAAGAATATTATTTTGTCAAATGGATACTCGTCAACTTCCAATACTATAATTTCTTTTAGACTTCTGCCCACTATTATCCATCTTTTATTCTTTGTCATAACCCATTGTGAATCCGATCACATATTCACATCTTTCAAAATAATAGGAATGATTATTGGATCTAAATATCTAATCCAAAGCAATTTGAGTTGAACTTTTATAGACTGATAGTCATACTATGGTTATAAAGCATACCGATCAAAATTTCTTGCTATATCAATTTCCTTGGCTAAATTGAGCTAATCAGAAAGAAATGAAAAATTGTTTTTATTTTCAATACTATCTCTCCCCTAGAACGTATAGCAGCAGAAAGAGTCATCCATACAAAAGTTTTTCCAGTGCCACCATTACCATACACGAAAAAGACTCCACCTATATTTGAATCAATAGCATTGATTATCATATCATAGACACTTCTTTGTTCTACGGTTAGATTACACATCATCTCTTTGTGGTCCTCTGCCAACTTTACTCGGTCATACCTCAACTCATCATACACAAATCGATTGGTATTATTTGATATAAACCTATTATCAGGACATGGCATGCAGTGAAATTCTTGTAAATTTCTTCCACAACTGCGTAACATCTTTTGGATTTCATACAAAGTATAATTCTTCAATTCTTCATCCGATAATGTGAGATCTACAATAAAAACTATAATTAATAATACATTTGTATAATAAAAATTTGAATGTGTGCGAAATAATGTAAAAATATACCTGGATGATTAAGCATTACACGTTGTTTGTGGAGAATATCTTCAGATAAAAATACCCAACACTTTTCCGAAACTTCCTCTGGTCTACTTAAACAATCAACAATTGATAGAGCAACAAATAGTTTACGCAAACAACGTGTTGTTGACCAAAAACTTGCTTCTTTGATTGCATCTATATATTCCTTATCATCGTTTAGTAGACCTAAAGCATAGCAAGCATCACGAAATGTGTCATATTGGACACAATCAACCTTTTTTATATCTTCAAAACATGTTGGTCCACGAACAACATTCAAAAGACATCTAAGAAAGAATAATTCACCGCAAGAAGGTGGCACATAAAATAGTCTTCCGATAGCAAAATTTATTTTCCTCGGCACCCACTCTCTCGTAGATTGCTTCCATACAAATCTTATGCGCATCTCAGCATAAGTCAAATTTCTTGCTTCGGGATATATCTCATTTGCTCTGAACCAAGCAAGAAACATGCTTTCTTTCACACTTGACTTCTCAAGAACTTCGTTTATGGGTTCTAAGTCATTAAAATAAACAACTTGTTCATTAGGCAAGTGAAAGCTAATCTCTCCACCCCATCACTTATGTACTGAATTTCAAATCTTAAAGTTCTTCATGCAGCCTCACATGATGAAATGTATCTGCAATCAAAATACATCTTGACTTCATCTACATCATTCTCTGCATGTTCTCCATTCGCACTTTGGTAGAATGTTGCAGTTATTCTATCATCTCCTTTATTCACATATTTGAATAAATATTTTATAGATCTAGACTGATTGCACCACTCCACATTCATATGTGCTGCATATTTGAGCAATAAATATCTATTATGAGGCACCACATATCTGTTATCCAACTCCACTCCATTTTTTGAAACGATTCACCCATCATGTCTTTTCCTATACACGGGATACTCATCTTCATCCAAAGTGGTGTGCTCCACAGATCTTTTCAGAATATCAGACCCATAATGATGATTTATGGTTTTTAAAATATGCCAAAAGGAATATTTATATTTAACACCTTTACGAATTCCAAAAGGCACCAATTCAATTTTGTATTTTTCAATGAACCGCTGAATTGTACATATACTCCTTTTTGCAATTAGGATTTGCTGGTATGCTTCCATAGCTACAAACCTTCAGGTACGACCTAAATTTTTGCAATTAATTACGAAGGAAATCTCTTCATTAAACTTTTTTTTATAAAATCATGCATTAATATTTATTTATTGCTCTTATCAATACATAAACTTCAAAAAAGAAAGTACAAAACCTTTAAGTAGGAATCATTCTTTAATATATATAATTATCACCAGAAAGTACAATAGTTGCACAATACCTAAACCACATATTTTATTATAAATTTCATGTCAATACAATGATATATTTCAATACATTTTTTTCAAATATTTCTGTAAACAATAGTCTGTTCATTACACTACAAACCCAAGAACAACATCTTGAAAATGGTCTTGACCATAGCTTTCCATTCATTTCTCACCCTTATAGTCCTCAAAAATCACCCGATCTCCTGCAATTTAAAAAGTACCGTTTGTTGCATTTTTTAATAAGCCACAAAAGTACATTTAAAGTAGATGTAAATTTCAAACTGCTTTGATTATCTTTTCAATGGTGTAACATTTGAACTAATAGTGTGAAGAGATGCAAACCGTGAAGCATTCTAAAGAGAAGTAAAATTCAACGGAGCATATATAATATGAAGTATATCATTTCAAAAAAACATAAATCAAACAAAATACCATTATCTTCTGGCAAAACTACAATGTCACCACATAATATCCAAAATAAGCAGAACTGAAATGTTCATCACACGTTAGAAATTAAAATAGGCAAAAATGTCGTAAAGTCCCCAAACAATTATTTCACAAATAGTACGGAGTACATCATTAAGCTTCCTTCTCATTTTTGACCACAACTTTCACTTTCTTAGATGAAGCGCTAGATGAAAACTCCCCGAGCAATTCCTTTTTCGCACCATGAGCATCATTTCTGTTGTTCTCCGTGTCCTTAAACTTCACAGGAGTTGACATTTCATTATCGGAGGAACCAACCTATTAGTAAAAACAAAAATTATTATGCGCTGCACATAGCCCAACAAAATTGTGCTCTAATTTTTAATCCGACAAATACCTTTTCCTGTGTTAAATTCCTGAACCATTCTAGTATAAAACATCAAATAAGAAACCATACACTAATTACAATCACCTTGTCGTCACCATGTTTCCCGACGAATTTCTCAATTAGTGCAACATCCTTGGTAAACCTCATAACACTAAAAATAGAGCTATAGTTGTTAAGATTCTCCTTTTTCACTTGTATCTTAAGCAACATACTTGAATCCACAACTGCCTCAATCTCCATGGGGATAAAGCCGCTCCCACGACCAGTCTAATGTAGCATGAAAACATAATACTTTTACCTTGTTTTTATACAATATACGATATATATCATATATATATATAATCTTATTACTTACACTTATGGGTGTGTCTCTGCAATCAGCCGCTTCTCGTCCAAACAACTCTTGTCCAACTCGATCCCAAATAACTATTGATGCATAACCAGTGGAATCAACGACACATATTATGACCTTATACCTACTCATTCAAATTTTGACTAAGTTGTTCTTTCTTTTCCACTTAAATTCATTTCATAACAAAAGTTAATTATGAAAAGTGATAACACATTACTTAGGTACACCATCAACAAAACTTTTGTCACAATTTGTACAGTAGATTTCTGAATTGGTTTTGTCAAGTTTCTTAGGACACTCTGGACAGGACAAATACCACCAATTATCACCACTCTCTATTACAACAACCTTTTCATGGACCCAGAAACTTCCAACCTGTAAAGGTAATTAAATTTAAATTTTGAAAAACAAACAAAAAAAACAAAAAATATTGATTTGAAAATGATATCTCTTTAGTCTCGTAGAGTGCATCTATGGTTTTCAACGGCCCATTCAAGTTGTTAAGTTCTTCAAAAATAGGAATGCGTAACTTTGATGTCACCGAAAATGTAGTGATACTTGGCAACTGAATATTCCTCTCAACAACAAATATTCTCAAATATTTACTTTCAAATTATGTAAATATATTCGTGTAACTCCAGAACAAACCATTAAACATCTTCGCATGACAGAATTTCAAAAGACATATGACTGGTTCAGTCGCATTGTTATCCAAATACGGATTCACTTCTTCAATATAGTTGTCCCAAAACGTGCATTGTATCTGCTTCATTCTATTGAAAAATAAAAAGAACTATTAATACTAATTATGTTAGAACAATGATGTGATAGTGCACACGTAGTATGTCAAAAAACGCACTCATTATCTTGCAGCAAAACTTATCTAGTCTTATGTGGCAATCCCTTCACCATCACATCTTCAATACCTCTCTTTGAGACAATGACACCAATAACATCTAAGCATAAATTTATAAATAAAAATTCCTTTAGCACAAACATAATTTCAACGTGTTATTATAAACATTAATGGGAATAAAACCATAATCTAAACAAACCCAAAAAACTGCTCACCAAACATTTTGGTTTCATCTAGAATATTTGCTGTCAGCACACTCTCAAAAGATTTGAATTGGCACACTTCGTTCAAGAACCCCGACTCATCGTGTACCCTAACCTGAGTTTTCGGGAGAAAAATTATCTTATACTTGTTTGTAGTTGTCTTGTATTTCCTTGCATCAATTGCTACAACAAAATTGCCAATGGCATAAACTTCTCACTCTTTCATTGCATCCTTAAATTGTGCTATTAGAAAGCTTTGAATGGTTCCATGGATACAATCTCCCTACTAGGGTTGTAAACGAATCGAATAATTTTGATCCGATTCACGATTCGAATTCGAAATTGATGATTCCAATTCGAAATATTCGAATACGAATTCGAATACGAATCAATTTTATTATTCGAATAAAATTCGAATACGAATACGAATATACATATATTCGATTCGTAAGTTATTCGAATATATTCGATTTGTATATTTACGAATTATAAATATATATTCTATTATATTTATAATTTATATAATTGTTTAAAATAAAATATAAAATAGGTAATACGTATTCTAGGTTTAAGTAATTGAATTAACTTTGTTTACTTTATTTGTGTGTGTTTCTTTAGCAATTGAGTTTTGAAGTAATTGAATTTTTGAAATAATTCATTTAATAGCCATTTGTGAAAATCGAAAAATGCATAAAATGAGTCATAATTTGAATAGGTGATTTTTTTTGACACTTCAAATATTTGAATTGGAATTCGAATATTCGAATATGAATATACTCAAATACAATAAACGAATCGAATATGAATCTATTGTAAGATTCGAATAATATTCAAATACGAATACGAATATTCGTCAATTTATACGAATACGAATAATATTACTCACTATTCGGTTCGGTTCGATTCGTTTACAACCATACTCCCTACCATTTTAAAAATAAAAAAGGTTAAGAGCACAAATATTAGCAATTATTAACGAATGAATTCAAGCTAACAATTACAATAAACACCTACCACTTTGTCGTGAAACACACACTCAAGACTCCTTATTTCGTCTTCTTCACTTCGCGAATAGTACATGCGCACCAGCCGTAACCTTAAACCCCATGTTGTTGATCGACTGAGGACATATATCCCTAATCAAACCGAACATTGCCGCCATTTCTACACAAATATTGAATTGGATTGATGCCTGGATCGCTACTTGCTATGATGGTTCTGTGTGCTATATATATATATATATATATATATATATATATATATATATACACACACACACACACACACTATATATGGTCCTATCTTGCATTAATACACTATATATATAGCTCCCGATTTATTTTTGTGAAATAGTTAACTGGTTGAGATTATTATTGTTAACTTTTTTAGTAGGGATTATTTTTGTAAAATACGTAATAGTAAGGATTATTGAAGTTAATTTTGTCAACAAAGTAAATGGAAAAGTTGACACCTTTAACTCCCATTTTATTTTTTGTGAAATAGGTAACTAGTTGGGATTATTTTTGACAATTTTTCCGGTATGAATTATGTTTGTAAAATGTGTAAAAGTATGTATTATTGGTGTCAATTTTGCCAAAATTATTTTGAATAAATTCATACGTACGCATGGGTGCATTCAACATTGACTAGTTTGAATAGACCAAATAAGATTAAATAAGACTAAAACATGTCCTAAATTCACAAATAGGACTATAATGTTTTAAATTTCCTAAATAAAACTAATTATATGTGTCTCGTCAATTATACCTCTGCCAGCGTCGGCCGTTGGAATCTGCCAAGGGATCTGAACAACCAAGGAAACTAATTAATTAGATTTTGGATATTAAGGGTAGAAAATTAGGGTCTGTTTACTAACAGAGATATTTTCCTGTTTTCTTCTTCTGTTTTTCGTTCTCCAATTTTCTGTTTTTATTTTTCAGTTTTTCTATCTCCAAGTTTAGTTTCTATTTTCTAGTTTTCCATTTTCAAATCTGAAAACATGTTCATCAAATTTTTCACCCAGTTCTATGATCATCTAGAAGACTGACACATTTACTTCACGGGTTACTAAATGGTGCTTATTAAGACTCGCGTTAATAAGCGACATATAAAATAAGCAATGGTATAAGATCATGTTTACTTGAAAAGGTTTAAAACAACGTTTGAAGTAGTGCGTGGGATAAAGGGTATGGTCGGGGGTGGGGTGGTAAGGTCTAGGGGTACGGAGTTGGGTGGGGTAGTGGGTGGGTTAGGGCGGTGGTTAGGGGTAAGGGTGGGGTGGTAAGGTCTAGGGGTACGGAGTTGGGTGGGGTAGTGGGTGGGTTAGGGCGGTGGTTAGGGGTAAGGGTGGGGGTAGTGAGTAGGGTTGGGGTTGGGGTAAGGTAGGGGTAGGGAGTTGGGATATGATGGCGGTAGGGTGGGGTCAGGATCAGGGGGGGCTGAAGTAGGGGAAGTGGTAGGGTGGGGGTAAGATGGTGATGGGGGTAAGATGGCAGTATGGTGGGGGTAGAATGGCGGTACGAGGGTGGGGGTAGGATGGCTGTAGGGTGGGGTCGAGGTAGGGGGCATGTGGGAAGGGGTAAGGTAGGGGTAAAGGGTAATATACGAGGTGGGGGTAGGGTAGGGTGGGTCGGGGTGGGGTTGAGGTGGTAGGGGGTGGCGGTAGGGTAGGGTGGATCGACGTGGGACCAAGGTAGGGGCATGTGGTAGGGGGTGGGGGTAGGGTCATTGACTCATTGTGGGGAAAAGGTGTATGTGGGGTGGGGTGTAACACCCCCAAATTTCCCACCCAAAACAATGATATATTTTAAAGAAATACTTTATTCATTCATCAAAGAGTTGAAGAATTACAGCGGAAGTCTAAAATAGGGAAATGGGTGTTACCGCCACATCCGATAATCTCTCAACCGGATGCACATGCAACTAAAACAAAACAATAAGAACTAATAAATAAATGTTTATTTCATGACTATATTCAACTAAGGCAACTTCTAATTCGCTCTCAGGCGCATGCATTCAGCAATCAACATAACCATCATCACCTGCACAAATAAAGTGTAGAAACAGAACAAAAGAAAGAAAACAAAAATTAGCTTTAGAGCTAAGTAAATATTACTCAACCCCGTAAAATAATCAGGTTTGGCAAAAATAGATTTTTATATAATACTATATAAAAATAACACACTCCATCAAAATCCTTTTCACTTTGATTTTTCTCAAAACCACTTCTTTACTAAAACCCTCAACTTCTCTTCAAAAATCTTATAGTAACTCTTCTCTTCTCTTTGAACTTCTCAAAAAAAATCTTCTTCTTTAACTTCCTAGTAATTTAGAAGGGCGGTGCTCAACCTTTCGACTGAGCCCGGTGGACCATGGTTACGGACGGCCACCCCGAACAAGTGTCGGTACCACAACTGCTCTTTCGGAAATGAAACGACTATCTTAAGTGTGCACACCCCCTAAAAGGGATTCCAAGCCCTCCGAGTAGTAAGTCATCCCGAGTGGTCGGAACCCAACCACCCCACCTTTAAAATGCTTGAATGATTAGGGACTACTACTATCACTTCTTAAAAGGGATCATAGATCCAAATGTCACTTGAAACTTAAACTGTACTTCTTAGTAGTAGTAGCTCTAATCACCCTCCACATTTATCCGGATGTGGAAAAACCGACACCTCGCATTACTCCCGAGATGCTCACTTCTTATGAAAATGTAAATTTTATCTTCAATTAAATAATACTTCAAAAATAATTCTCAATTTCTCTAAAAAGTCTCGAAGGTATTCAAAATATTTAATACCCCAAAAAGTATTTAATTTATATTTCTCAACTACCATATATATAATATCTTTTCAAAATCACATACACATAATTCAAAATTCACACTTAATCACATAATGCATAATAAGCATATAATACGAGGAAACAAATTTTGGATTGGCAGAGAAACTTACAGTAGGTCCTGATGTTCCAAATTCTCTTCCTCAATTCTG